GGGGGGGTGGGGGACTCTTATCAGCAAACAATAAATCAAAGCGCCCTCCTCTCTCTCTTATCGGGCGCTTAAAATTCGCAGCAAGGCTAGGTTTCTAAGCTTAGGGAGGAGGGGGTGAGGGAAGTAGTAAGGAAACAAACGGACACACGAACACACACACACCCCTCCAATTCTCCTTCGCGTATCCCGCGCGGCTTGCGCCGGCTTGGTTTCGAAATGCCGTCCTACCAACTGCAATGCAAAAAAAATGCGGTGTTCCCTCTGCCCCGTCGCTTGCGACTGTGGACTGAGTTCCGCTGGAGGGCTGGTCGATAGAAACGTTACGTCGCCGGCTTTTCTCCGGTTTTGGCTCACAGGAGACGGTTGTTAGGTAAGCGAAGCCTCATTCGGATTAGCCAGTTTGAATTAAGAGAATCTCTACGCGCAAAGGCTGGAAGGGGGGGGGGGCGGGGGAGAAGAGAGAATCGCCCGCAAACTTCCCCAGTTTGTGGCGGAGTGGTGGAGGCTTTAACTCGGAAGGGAATCTCTCGGGGGATCCATGAAGCTGGCTAAAATCGTGGGTTGAAGAAGCAGGAGGAAGAGGAAGGGATACAGTTGAGACCCGAGCATTTTCGGATTTTTTTTCCCCTGCCCGCAGAATTCCCAGCTCATTCTTGGAAACCCGCAAACTCTTTTTGCAATCAGCCAAAGGAAAGTCGTAAAGGGGGTGAGGGGAGAGAAAATCTTACAAATGATCACTTTTAATTGTAAGGTGTTTAAGTTCTTCTTTCGTTTCCCAGTTACTTCCAAGTTGCAGAAGGGGGGCGGATAACACCCCCCCCCCTTTACAAATATTCTGCGGTGGGGGAAAGAGGTCCCAGAAGCAACGTTGCCAAACTGGACTTGGGAAAACAGGATTTGAACCACCTGGTTTGGGGGATTCAAAAACTGGATACCCCCACCAGTTTGAATATGCACAATATTTTTTACCCATTTCTTCACCGTTTTGCCTATATTAAATTATCACCTGGCTCTTTTTGTTCTGTCGAGGTTCTTCCCTTTCCTAAATGTTAGACAGCAATTCTATATATCATTATCTGGGAATAAATCCCCTTAAACAAACTTATGCCACATTTAGAGCAAAGCTTTCTCAATTGGCAGTGTTAAAAACATATTTAAAAACGTATTTCTATACCGATGAGGCCCTGTTGAAAGTCAAATGAAATACAAAGGGAGACCTAGACCTGTTTGGCCTGGGGTAGAATAAAAAAGAGAGGGAGAGAGAAGATGCTTTTATTTTTATGTTCTTTATTGCTGAAAAAGAATGATAACCAGAATGGACGAATCTGAGCAAATCTAGTCATGGCAAGAGAAATGGGTTTTGTTTTTAAAAAGACCTTATTCATTAAAATCACTTGGATGCTCTAAGAAAGGAGGGGGAACAGAGAAATTATTTCCATAAATCTTGACTTCGTTTGTTGTGTTATAACCTGACCTCCTTTTAAACTCAGTTTAAGAGGTTATGAAAAGGTCTTTTTTTTTCTTTTTCGGGGAGGGAATGAAGAAAACAAGTTGAATTACAAGTGTATCTTATAAAAGAGAAAAGCAGAAACAGGATTAGAATCTGATTCTCAGCACAGCGCTCTCTTTCCTTGGAAGTAGGTCTCCTTGTGTTCTAGCAGGACCTGGCAAAAAATTACAGTTTAGCAGCAAGAGACGGGGGAAAACAAAACCTTCCCCCTACAACTTGGAATGTGCTCAGTCACCTCTTCCGGTGTGCTTGTGAGAATCCAGCTCCTTAAAAGCCAAGCGAAATGTTCTTCCCTTCCGAACTAATTTTCGGGGCAGGTTGAAATTCAGCCGGATTGCTCAGGCCTCCTTGCACGCGCGTGTGCACCCACACCCGGGAAAGGTTGCAGGCTGTTGCAGAGGCAAATGGCTGAACCCCCGAAACAGCGACAGCATTTTCCATAAACGATTAGAAGTAAGTAGCTGGAGCGAGGGAGGTCAACGTTGGACGTTGGCGAGGGTCTCTGCCCCTATCTCACAGGCGCACACGTGCACGGTTCCCAGATCAGTTTTTCACTGATCCC